GCTACCGAGGACAGAGAGAGAGAGAGAGAGAGGAGAATGGCCATGATTCGTCCTCCTGCAGTGCTGTGCGCCAAGAAGGCAGCCCACATCTTTGCCAGCACGCAGAGAGAGAGCGACGCGCCGCCGATGACTACCTGCCCACTTTGTGTCGCCCTTTTTTGCTTTTGTTCCCCTCTCCTTTGCCCCCCCCCCCCTCTCTCCATCTGCCGCTGCGCAGCTTTTGCCAAGAGAGATACTCACGCAACTTCATCTGCACCTCTTCCGGATCGATGCGTAGCGGCACGAGGCCAATTCTATGTGCAAGCACCTCATCCTGAACAATACTAGTGTTGTTCCAGACATACATGCCCTCTACGGCGACGGTGGGTACTTCAGCCATGAGTACCCTACGCAGCGCATTTGCAATGCTGGCATCGACGCCGACGAGGTCGAACTCGAGGCGCGAGGCAGAGAGACGCGTGCAGTGCAGCCGCAGGGAGGAGGCGAAGGAGGAGAGGGAAAAGGGCGAGGTGCTGCCGGAGCCGGATGGGAGATTGTGCGGGAAATGAGGAGCGGAGACGCTGCCGATGCGCTCTGGCAGGACTTCGACGAGTCGAGAGGCGTCCATGATGGGCGCAGAGGGTGGGGGTGATGGAGGTAAGGAGTAGGAGTAGCGAAGGCAAGGCAAGGCAACGTCGGCCGCCGCGCCGCCGCCGCGGCCGCCCCGCCAAAAATCACGCGCACGTGACGCACAGCGATCGGTGGCCGTCCGAGCTCTCCACGCTGGCGCACGCCGCGCAACGCTAAGCCGGGGCAGGCGCGCACCGTCAGCGCTGGCGTGGCCGGTGCGCGCTGGCGATGCACCTTGACTTCCCACTTGCTCCACCCACACGCACACTCCACCGCTCACTGCTCAGCAGTTGCTTCTCCTCTCCGTTCGCTGCTCCGCCTCGCCTCGATCGCAGCCTCTCGTCTCTCTGCCCGCAAAGCCATCTTTGCGGCCCTCGTCTAGCCGCGCGACGCCCGACACTGCTTCGCTCTTGCGCCCGTCTCGCGTCGTCCGCCGCGCGCGCGTGGCCCCATTGCTCGAATCTCCCTCCTCCTCGCTTCTCGATCCTGGCGCCGACGAGACCATGACGACGCCTGCCGAGATCACCGCCGAGACTCCGTGAGTTGACTTTCGCTTTTCTTCTCTTTGCGCTTGCACGCCATGGCCTCGTGCTTTGGCCGCGCTCGAGATCAGCCTTGGCCTTCCTTTGCGGCCTTGGCAAGAGCACAGCTTGGCACAAGCGGGGGGCGCGCGCGCGGGGGGCCTGCGCTTGTTCCTTTTTTTCCTTTGCGCCTCTTTTTTACTCACCACTCCCAACTCCCCTCTCTCTCTCTCTCCAGGCTCTCCTCCCTGACAGACGCCCAGCGCGCACAGCTGGGGCAAGCGGCGCGTGAAGAGTCAACGCGCCATCAGCCGCTGCTTGCGCCGCAAGAGTCGCTCGATGCCCTCGAGCAAGAGTATGAGAAGGGCGGCAACGACGAGTTTGCACGCAAGGTCAAGTGGCTCAGAGAGTGCGGCGGCTTCGTCGGTGAGTTTGGCTTTGCCCGTTCCCTTCTGATTGTTTTTTTGTGCCCGGCAAGATGGGCAAGAGGAGGATGATGATGATGATGAGAGACGGGCGTGCGAGGAACGATTTGGTGCGCAAGGCACAAGTGAAGAGCAGCAAGGCGGGCCACCTTGCGCGATGCGGCGCGGAGGGGCAAAGCAAGGCGTTTGGCTGCCCGGAAAGGCGGAGCAGGGGGCTGGGGGAGCGTCGGCGGGCAGGCAGCGCACAGGAAAGCGTCTTTGCGGGTTAGCTTTCCTTCAGTGG